AGTAGCACACCACTCTCGAGGATCGTTGCCCTGGCCCCACAGGGAGCCCCACCGAGGCTTCATTTCGGCACACCCCTCTCGAGGATCGTGGCCCTGGCCCCACAGAGAGCCCCACCGAGCCCTCATTTCGGCACACCCCTCTCGAGGATCGTGGCCCTGGCCCCACAGGGCGCCCCGCCGAGCCCTCATTCCGGCACACCCCTCTCGAGGATCGTGGCCCTGGCCCCACAAGGCGCCCCACCGAGCCCTCATTTCGGCACACCCCTCTCGAGGATCGTGGCCCTGGCCCCACAGGGAGCCCCACCGAGGCTTCATGTCGGCACACACCTCTCGAGGATCGTGGCTCTGGCAGCACAGGGAGCCCCACGTTTCCCGTTTCCCGTTTCCATCCCCCCCCCCCGGGGCCTCCAGGTAACGCCCTTACGAACAACAACAACAACAACAACAACAACAACAACAACAACAACAACAACAATCATTTTACCCGAACGCGTGGTGTTCTCCCCAGTGCCAGGGTTTTCATACGACACCAGGCAATACCCCCACTTCGTGGGGGGGCATTACAAGCTCTACCAAATATCCAAACGACTCTTCGCGACCACCCAAACCCAGCTTCCCGCCCTATGACGTTGGGACACTTCACTTCGTGGCGTGCGGACGACCGTGGCTACTACACTGGCGTGGGGTACACACCCACAGAACTTGGTCACTTATTGGGCGGCGTGCGCGCGCGAAAAAAAACGAATGTGTCCCGCATGGTATTATTTGACAGGGATGATGGCCCTGGCAGGTGCGCAACCGTTGTCGCAGAAGTTCGAAAAAGTTGCTCGCAAAAGCCCGTTTGACAGAAATGTTTAAAAAGTGTTGGGTTTCCTACGAATCCGCAAGAGCGCGCGGGATGAGATTTTGACATTTTTTTGTTGAAAAACCATTGGTTTTTTGATGTTTTTATGTTAAAATCGCTCCGAACACTAAGCTTTTGGAAGGATTTCGTCTTGCGCGCGCGAATGTCCACTTTACCTTATTTTTTGCAAGGGATTCTTGAAATTTGATTATATTTGAACAAGAAATGTCATTTTATAGTGTTTTTTGCAAGGGAAAACGGATTACAACAAAACAACCGGATCTTGATCAACCCGAATTACCTGAGGCTTCCTCACGAAAACGATGAAAACGTGGCTGCGGCCTAGGCGCGGCGGGGGGGGCGCGCACCAGGGGGCCCAACAATAATTATTCTTTAGAATTAATAATGTTCAACAACAACAACAAAAACAACAACAACAACGACAACGACAACGACAACGACAACGACAACGACAACGACAACGACAACGACAACGACAACATCAACAATCATTTTAAGACTGTTCGCCCTTATTTTCTCGAGTGTCCAATAACGCGTATTTCCCTAACCCTCGATACCCGCCCTCTTCGTCTTCGATCGAACCCCTTTTGGGGGGTATGCTTTTCTTCCCTGCGGGCCAGGCCCCGGCAAACGGCGGGGCGGCCGCGGACCGTCGACCCGACCCCAAGAAGGACGGACAGGGGACCGACCACGACGACGACGACGTCGACGACGACGGCGACGACGACGACGACGAGCGAAAGGGAGAACGAAAGAGAACGACAGCAGGACCACAAGGACACGAAGTAGGCCACGAAAGGCAACAGCGGGGACACGAAGGGAATGCGTATGGGGCCACGAAGAGCGCGAACGAGCGGGGGGGGGCACGAAGGGCATACATATATGGGGCCACGAAGGGCAGCGAGGGGGCCACGAAGGGATGCAACGGGGCCAAGAAGGGCAGCGAGGGGGCCACGAAGGGCTGCTGCAACGAGGCCACGAAGGGCTGCGACGTGGCCACGAGGGGCAGCGAGGGGGACACGAAGGGCTGCAACGGGGCCACGAAAGGCAGCGAGGAGGCCACGAGGGGCTGCAACGGGGCCGCGAAGGGCAGCGAGAAAGCCACGAAGGGCTGCGAGGGGGCCACGAAACAAAGCCAGGGGGCCAGGAAGGGCTGCAACGGGGCCACGAAGGGCAGCGAGATCCCGATCCCTATGTAATCTGTGAGGGGGTCCTGAGTGAGAGCGCGACTCCTGGGTGCCTGGGTGTCGGGAGCGTGGCGCTTGCGTAAATCACAAAAAAATCCAACGCAAAGACGCTATTTTTCAGTAAATCGCAAGCAAGTCTCCAGCGAGAGCGCGACTCCAGAGCGCCCAGATAATGAATTTTAAGGAAGTCCCAAGCGAGAGCGCGTTTCCTCAATAAAACGCGAGGAAGTCTCGGGCGGGAGCGGGGGTCCTGGCTAAATTGTGAGGAATGGGAGCCGTTGTGGTTGTAAACTGGGGGCCAACGACACAGTTTGAGCATCAAGACTTTCTTTGATAAAAAACAGGGTGCGAGCCCCGGGAAGGGCACTGTAACTGCAAAAAAACAATGCGCACCGGATGCGGGGGACCAACAATAATTATTCTTCAGAAATGAAAATTCAACAACATCGGCTCCCGCCTGATACTTCCGCACCGTGTATTCCCACATCGCGCTTTCGCGCGGGACGTCCTTGCAATGCATACAAAAATCGCGCTCTCACGTGGGACTTCCTCCGGTCTGTTCAGGCGCCGCGCCCTCGACACTCAAGAATCACGCTGTCGCTGTGGATTCCTGATGATGTTCTTGGGGATCGCGCTATCGGCCCAAACTTCCTCGCGATGTATGCAGCACGCACGCTTCAGCAACCCGCCTACCTCGACCTGACCGCCTGGGCCCGCCTTCCCGACCCGCCCGCTCGGCTCTGCCCGCCCGATCTGCTCGTCTGGTTCTGCCACGTTTTCTTTCTGTTCCGACCCCCTCTCCTGCTACCCCCTCTCGTGTTCCATCGTCCTCCCTCCCCCGTGTCCGTTCCTTCCATGCCTCCTCTCTCCCCTGCCTTAGGTGCTGCACCAAATACACGTTGCATGCGAAGACGAAGAGGGCGGGTATCGATGGTTTGGGATATAAATGCTGACTCGGGCGCGAGAAGATATAAGCGAACAGTCTCCAATGAGTGTTGCTGCTGTTGTTGAGGCCGTTGTTGTTTTGACGTATGCGTGTTGGCTTGCACGCGAGCAGGTAAGAACGAACTATATCAAATGAGTGTTGGTGTTGGTTGTTGTTGCTGTTATTTCCGTTGGTTATGTTGCTATTGCTGTTGGTGTTGCTGCTGTTGTTGTTGGTGGTGGTGTCGTTGTTGTTGTTGGTGTTGTTGGTGTTGGTATCATTGCTGCTGTTGTTGTTGTTGGTGCTGTTGGCGTTGTTGCTGTTATTGTTGGTGTTGCACCAAATACACGTTGCACGTGAAAAAGATATACCCAGAAAGGGGGGTACGATCGAAGACGAAGAGGGCGGGTATCGACGGCGCGAGAAGGTATAAGCGAACAGTATCCAATGAGTGTTGCTGCTGTTGTTGAGGCCGTTGTTGTTTTGACGCATGCGTGTTGGCTTGCACGCGAGCAGGTAAGAGCGAACTATATCATATGAGTGTTGTTGTTGGTGGTTGTTGTTGTAAATTCATTTGGTGATGTTGCTATAGCTGTTGATATTGCTGCTGTTGTTGGTGGTGGTGGTGTGCTTGCTATTGGTATCAGTGTTGCTGTTGTTGTTGGTGTTATTGGCGTTGTTGCTGTTGTTGTTGTTGGTGGTGGTGTTGCTGGTGTTGTTGCTGCGAATCGTGCTGGTAATGCTGCGCTCGTTGTTGCTGGTGTTGCTGCTTTGATGTCGCATCGCTGAGGCGTTGCTTTGGGCTGCTTTTCTTGTATTGTTTCTGTGCCCGTGTGTGTGTGTGTGTGCCCGTGTGTGTGTGTGTGTGAAGGGGCCCCAGGACACACAAATAAATGCACACAAATAAAATGATTCCCCATATTTTCTCATATTTTCTGGGTTTTTGTCTTCCCCCCCACTTCCCATATTTTCCCATATTTTTGTAGGAATCGACGATTAATTGTGTCTGTGTGTTTCTTTCCCTCCTGAGTGTGTGCGCGCGTGGTCCCGCGTCGCAGGGCACGAGAACACTGCGCGCCGCGGCGTCGGCCGCGGATGCCCGCGGCCGGCGCGGCGTGGGCCCGCGGCGGAGACGGCCGAGCGCCCGCCCGCAGCGCGCCAGGGAGAGGGGGGGGAAGGGGAACCTTCGAAGGGGCCCCAGGACACGCAAATAAGTACACACCAACAAAAAGACTCCCCATATTTCCTCATGTTTTCTGGGGCTCTGTCTTCCCCCCCCCCACTTCCCATGTTTTCCAATGTTTTCCTGGGGAAGCGACGACTGATGGTGTCTGTGTGATTTTTCCCTCCTGAGCATCATGAGGGAGGCGATCAAGGAGGGACGATCAAACGCGGGTCTTGCGCGAGATGGCATGGCGCCCTGGCGCGGTGGCCTACGCGGGCCGCCGGCGCGGCACGCCGCACCGGAGACGAGGGCGCCGGCGCGCGACCTGACGCGGGCAGCTTGCGCGCCAGTGTCGGTGCAGACGACCCCGTTCTTATTTCTGCCGCTCGAAATGGAAGGGGCCCTGAGACACACAGATAAATACACACAAGCAAAAGGATTCCCAAATGTTCCTATATTTTCTTGGTTTTTGTCTTCCCCCCACGTCCCATGTTTTCGTATATTTTCCTGGGGATCGACGATGGATTGTGTCTGTGTGTTTCTTTCCCTCCTGAGAAATGGCGGGGCAGCGAGGGCTGCAGAAAAGGAGCCCTTTAAGGACCCTGAAGGAGGCCTTTGGGGCCCAAAAGGGGGTCTTTGGGGACCGAGAACTGCGCCCTTCTTCCCGGGGGGCCTACTGACCCGGGTCAGTCGGGCTTTGCATGAGCCTGCAGGAGCCTGCAAGATCAAGCAGGATCCTGCAAGGTGGGTGCCAACCTGGTGGCTCTGCAGGATCCTGCGAAATCCTGCGCTCTGACTGACCCCCGCTTGCACTGACCCCCGTCTCAGAGCTCCCGCACCCACGCCCGAGGATCGCGCCGGGGCACGACGCGAGCGCGTCCAGGCACTCCTCGCAGCGGCCCCTGATCGCGTAGTGCAGGCATGTGTCGCCGCGCGCGTCGCAGGCGTCCACCTCGCCCGCTCGGAAAGGCGGGCGCCGGGGCGAACGGGGCGGTCAAGAGGGGTGCATGGGGGCGGTGGCGGGGCAAGAAAGGTGAGAAGAGCACCCACGAGACGTTGTGGAGTGGCGTGGCGTCCTCCTCCTCCTCCTCCTCCTCCTCCTGCTCCTCCTCTTCTCCTCCTCGTCATCCGTCCTCCTCCTCTTCCTCCTCCTCCTCCTCCTTCTCCTCCTCGCCCCCTCGTCGTCGTATTTATCTTTTCCCTCCTTCTCGTTTTGCCTCCTTTCGCTCGTCGTCTCCCTCCCCCCTCCTCCTTCTCTTCCTGTGTCCCTGCCGCAACAGCATTACGGCGGGAGTCCATCGAAAGTCGTCAGAGCTGGGTCTGGCCTGCGCTCTGCACGGACGTCGCTTGAGCGTCGCGGGGGGGCCGCCGAGGCCACAACGGCTTCCCTGCAGTGCCAGCCTGCCGCCCACGACACCGAGCCACGCGCGTGGGCGAATCGTGGCGGGCGCCCGCCGGAAGGAAAAGCACGACAGGGCTGCGCCGTGATCGCCGCGAGCTGGAGGGCGACAGGCGCGACAGGCGGACGCGAGGCCCATTATTAAAGGGGCCCCAGGACACACAAATAAATACGTAGCACCCCGCAATTGCGGATAAGAGTAAGAGGGCGGGCGCGGGCGTCGTCAAGCCGGCGGACCTCGTGGCTTCCACTTTCCCTGTCGATGGTGCTCTCCTCCTCCTCCTCGTCATCCGCCTCCTCCTCCTTCTCCTCCTCCTCCTCCTCTTCCTCGTCCTCGTCCTAATCGTCATCGTCGTCCTCCTCCTCCACCTCGTCCTCCTCCTCCTCCTCCTCCTCCTCTTCTTCCTCGTCCTCCCTCTCCCCCCCTCGTCCTTCCATCATCGTCCTCCCATTGTCGTCATGTTCCTCCTCGTCGTCCTCCTCCTCTTCCCCCCCTCCCGATCCTCCCCCCTCCTCCTTTTTCGTCGTCGTCGTCGACGTCGTCGTCGTCGTCGTCCTCCTCCCCTCCTCCTCCTCCTCCTCCTCCTCCTCCTCCTCCTCCTCCTCCTCCTCCTCCTCGTCCTCCTGCAAAAGCAGCCCGCCGCAGGCGCCGAAAAAATTGGTTTGTACACTGAACGTGGTTTGGGTCGCGGGTGGGCCGCGGGTTCTCCACCGGGAACGAATGCAAAAGATGCCCGCCGCAGGCGCCGAAAAAATTGGTTTGTACCCTGAACGTGGTCGCGGGTGGGCCGCGGTCTCTCCACCTAGAACGAATGCAAAAGATGCCCGCCGCAGGCGCCGAAAAATGTGGTTTGTACCCTGAACGTGGTTTGGGTCGCGGGTGGTCGGTCGCGGGGTAGGTCGCGGGTGGGTCGCGGGTGGGTCGCGGGTGGGTCGCGGGGTGGGCCGCGGGGGGGTCGCGGGGTGGGTCGCGGGTGGGTCGCGGGGTGGGTGGGTCGCGGGTGGGTCGCGGGGTGGGTCGCGGGGTGGGTCGCGGGGTGGGTCGCGGGTGGGTCGCGGGTGGGTCGCGGGTGGGTCGCGGGGTGGGTCGCGGGGTGGGTCGCGGGGTGGGTTGCGGTGTGGGTCGCAGGGTGGGTCGCGTGGGTCGCGGATGGGTCGCGGGTGGGTCGCGGGTGGGTCGCGGGGTGGGTCGCGTGTGGGTCGCGGGGTGGGTCGCGTGTGGGTCGCGGGGCGGGTTGCGGGTGGAACGACGACAACAAACAACAAACAACAAACAACAAACAACAAACAACAAACAACAAACAACAAACAACAAACAACAAACAACAAACAACAACAACAACAACAACAACAACAACAACAACAACAACAACAACAACAACAACAACAACAACAACAACAAACAACAACAACACCAACAACAACAACACCAACAACACCAACACCAACACCAACAAAAACAACAACCACCACAACCACAACCACAACCACAACCACAACCACAACCACAACCACAAACACAACCACACAACCACACAACCACAACCACAACCACAACCACAACCACAACAACAACAACAACAACCAACAACCACAACCACAACACCAACAACAACAACAACATCATCATCATCATCATCATCATCATCATCATCATCATCATCATCAACAACAACAACAACAACAACAACAACAACAACAACAACAACAACAACAACAACAACAACAACAAAAACAACACGAATCCGCACCGCGGAATCCCACTTCAGCCACGCACCCAGGGACAGTGAATGATCGTTCGGCCCCCTCACTCTGACACACAAATAAAAATATCCCCTTAAATTTTTCAATATTTTCTGGCTTTTGTCTTCCCCCCCACTTCCCATATTTTCGCATATTTTCCTGGGGATCGACGATTCATTGTGCCTGTGTGTCTTTTCCCCCCTGAATGATACCTGTCCCAAGATACGACACACGCGGATCCCCTCCACGTGTACATTGCACGACAGCTGTCGCCAGACTCCCAGGCAGCTGGAGGGCGACCGGCGCGACGCGCGCCGCGCCGCTTCGGCGGGGGCGCGCGGCCGCGCCTCCGCCGCGGCGGGGGCGTGGCCGGGCCGGGCGGGCCGTCCGGAGGAGGCGGAGGAGGCCGGCGGGGCGGGGCGGCAGAGGCGGAGGGGCGGAGGCGGGGCCCGCGCCGAGGGAGGCCCCGCCACGGGCTCCTCGCGACGACGGCGACGACGACGACGACGACGACGACGACGACGACGGCGACGACGACGACGACGACGACGACGACGACGCGGTGATAGCTCGCGCGCGTGCCGTCCGCAGCACGAGCCGAGCGAGGGGAGAGAGCGCAGAGGCAGAGCGGCGGCCCCAAGCGAGAGAGAGGGGGGTGCGGGCCGATGGCCTGCGGAGAGGTGGGTCCCCCCATCGTATCCATGGCGTGGGCCCTGCAGCTCGCTGTTTGTAGGGAAAACACAAACCTACCTCGCTTTTGACCACCCTCGCTTCCAAGAGATACCAAGCGATGCCAAATTGCAGCCTGTGCTGGTCAGGCCGCTTGCCGAGGAGGCGCGTGGTATGACTTGGTTTTGCCTGGAAGCGAAAGCGGGGTAGGTAATTCACGCTCTGAGTTTAGGGTGCCCCCCTCCCCCCCCCCTTCCCTTCCAGTGCCTGGTCGCGGTCGTTGCCCCGTGCTGCTGCCAGGCAGCTCGGCCGACAGAAGTGCGCCAAGCAGGCGCGGAGCAAGCCTTGGCGCTCCCGAGATGGACGCGGGAAAGATCAGTACGATGCCCAGCCAGTTTGTTCAGAACGAACAGCGGCCGCTGTTGGGCATGCAACCTGATGCATCAAGTTGACAACTTCCACTGCGACACCTCGAGAGGCGCACGTTCACGAGTGCAATGCAGCGGGCAGCGCACACTACAGGGCTCACGAGCACGATGGTTTGTCCTTGGGCCAACACACGGACTCGCATGCGCAGCGCTCACAAAGGCACTGCGCTGCACTGTGCGGGTGTGCTCCCGCTCTGAAGCGGCGCGTCGTTCATGCCGATTGTCCTTACCGTTGCGCGATCGAACGCCGACCCCCAGCGCAGTGATTTGAAAACCTATTTCGCGCCCCGCGGGGTGTATTCATCAGTCATGGGAGGAGGGGTCAGCCATGCATTAATCACAAGCTGACACTATGACATTCGTCAACCCACAGGCAGTCATCAACGGCATCGCCGACGACCTGGCCATCGACTCTGCCAGGCGCTGGGTGGTCCTCAGCGACTGGAACGAGCTGCCCTGCCTGATGAAGCCGCCCGCATGGACGACCCAGCTGGGAGTACGCGATCACGGAGGCGAATGGCCTCCCACCAGGTACGACGCGCAGCGCTGTATCGACCATGGGCTCGCCTACGGTGCGGACGTTGCTCGTGCAGCTTCTGGTGACCACAAACTGTCTGATCACAAGATCATCGACGTGGACGTGCGGGGCTCCGGAGGCGGCCTCGCGGTCGAGCACAGGTTCGTGCCCACGCAGCGCCAGGGGGAGACCACCAGGAGTACTCCCGGGACACCTGGGTCGAGGTCACGGAGCGCTTCTGGAATGACCGACACGATCAGCATTGGCAAGGGCTGCGCTGTACCTTCGAGCCGGGCGACCTGCAGGTGCAAGGCTGGATTGACAAGCAGTGGAAGGATTTCACCCACGCGGTAGAGGACACCATGAGGGAAGCGGCGGAGGCTTTGGCCATGCCTGGCTCCACCCAGGACGCCGACGACGACTGTGACGACGGCGACGCCGACCTGACGCAGAAGATGGAGGAAAGGTGGGCCCCCGGCCTCCTCGCCGCGCGGTCCCCGTGAGGACTGGGCAGAGGGCCGCCTTGAGGAAGGGAGCGGCATGCATCCAGGAGGTGGAGTGGCCCGCTCGGCAGGCAGCGGCAGCGGGCAGCTGCCGGCAGCGCCGCGCAGCAAAGGCCCTAGGCCGGCTCAGGAGGCTGCACTGGCCCGAGAGCCACGGGAGGAGCAGCACCAGCGAGGCTATAGGGAGCTGAGGCTCAGGACAGGCCGAGCTGCAGCACCGCGGCTCCAGGAGCAGCAGGCACAGCCACTGGTCGGCAGGCTGCAGCGGCTGCAGCGGCTGATCGACGACCACGCGAGGCTGCGGACTACCCACCAGGAGGCGGACTAGCGGCAGCGCCTCCACAAGTGGGCGACATGCAGGACCCGAGGCGCGCGCACCAAATGGGTGCGATGGCGTGCTGCCGCCGGCGCCGGCCGTGAAGGCGGCCACAGAGAGGACCTCCACAGGAGCACGGGGCGGGGCGCTCGGCATGCTCTGGGAGAGGTTGCGTGGAGTCTGGGGCCGTGTTTGCCCGGAGCATGGCGCCCGGGAGGCGTGGAGGCCAACCTCCCGCGCTTGGACGAGGGCCTCTGGCCCGACCTCGCCCTTGCCGATCTCAGGGACACGCTGCGCACGCTGCGAGGCTCTTCGGCGGGCCCCGGCGGCTGGACGGGCGACGAGCTGGAGGCCGCGGACTTCATGCTGGAGGCCGT